GCTTGTTTCAGATTGAAGAGGAGCTGGCTGCCCTCCAGAAGGAACGCAGCGAGAGGATAAAGATTCTGTTGGAAAAGCAAGAGCGAGAGATTGAAACGTTTGACATGGAGAGTCTGCGACTGGGCTTTGGGAATTCGGTCACATTAGATTATCCCAAGGAGGACTATAGATGAGATTAAATTTCTTTTGCCATTTTAAAAAAATCAAACAAAATTATGAAAAAACCAACATTCCCCATGTTAACGGGCGTGCTCTCTCTCTTTCTGTCTCTTACTGACATTGTGTCGGACTAGTGCCTGTACGTTCTTACTCTGTCAGGGCCCCTTCCCCTGCGTCAAGTGCCAGTGTGGGACAGCTCCTGGCAGTCTCTTTTCATAGTACGTCACAGTATTGATGTCTCTGTGCAATGATGACAAATGTTTCAGTGAAAGCTTTGGAGACAACTTTAACTAATCAAACAAAAGTGGATGTCTGTTGCTTTTGAGCAATCACTCATTTTACCACCAATCAATGAAAGTACAAGCAAAAAAAAAAAACAACCCCCAACCCTATATATGAAAACCCAAGGGGAGAGAGACGAAATCCGCAGCCTTACCTTAACTAGCTGCTGCATAATTTTATTTTATTTTTATTTTTTTGGTATTTATTCATCAGGAATAATTAAATAAAAAAATAAAAAATTTATTAAAGATTGAGAAATTTGATACATTTTACAGAAAAAAATCTTAATCGTGATGTACATATCAGTGGTGACATATTATTACTTTTTTGGGGGCAGGGGAGGGAAGGGAAGGGGGCGGGGTGAAGAGATCTTGTGATTTTTAAAAGAACCATGCTGGGCGAGGTAGGGGTTTGGCCTCTGCCTTCGGCATATTCTTGATTGTATCATAATCATTTTCTGCTGTCGCAGAGAATGTGAATACACTTAAATGAGCCCACAGGATCCCAGTAGCACAAATTGGGCTTTGTCAAATCGTGTATTTTGTGTATAGAAGGAATTTAAGGAGAGCTTTTACTTATTTTCATATTGTATTTTAACTGTTTCTCTGATCAGAATTTTTTTACTCCTTTCCTCTCCCCTCTCCCCATCCCCAGCCGTCCCACCCCTGACTTTCCAGTTCAGTAGTTGGAGTTCAGCACTGTCTCTTGGTCAGATCATCCTGATCTTTCTTTTCTTGTTTTGTCCCGCCCCTCCCCCCCCAACCCACCTCCCTCCCCAGAATCTCGGTCATAAATACTGCATTAGTCACACTTTCAAACTGTGTATTTTCTTACAATAAAAAGCAGTAAAAAAAAACACGCTTTACCTTCTTTTGCATGCACTTTAAAAAAACAAAAACAACAAAAAACCATTTTTCAGCTTCCAAGGAAGAGCATGAGGAACTGTCAGAGCTTTTAATTATATTTGTAAATAAAAGTGTTCATCACCCCGCCTCGCTGTCTCATTGTCGCGGAACGAGCGGCTCTCGCCCACAGCGTAGTTATCCGCTACTGGCCTCACCCCGCCTCTTCCTTCCAAGCTGCGAGCGGAACCAGGCCTGCGTGCTTTCATCTCGGGCTCATGCCGTCCTTCCACTGGGCACATTTGAAGCCTCAGAGCAATTTCTCTCAAAGGAACCTGCTTGGCCGCTTGTGCGGCGGCTGGAATGGATGGTGCACGCTCAGCCCAGACTCTCTGGCCGTACATGGAGATGGGCAGTTCTCTCTCCACGGCATTGATCATATGAACCCATCTGCGTACACCCCACGTTTCTTTCCATGACTTTGCCCCCCACAAGCATGGCTGACTATGATGTCTCCACCATTTTTCAGCCTGCTGCTGCCTTAGGGTGGATTTGAGGGACTGAGAGAGTAGTTCGCCATGTTTTTTTGGAATCTACAATGCAGTAGATGAATGGCCCAGCCTCCCTTCCTAGGCGGCACCCTCCTGCCCTATCTCTCTTGGCCATGCCCTGGCACAGTTACCATTGTTGACTTTTTCTGGTCATTGTATTGCTATTTTGTTTCCCCCCTTTTTCATCTTTAGTTCCCGCTTGGGGGAAACCGAGCTAATACTTGTGTAGTGTAGTCCTTCACTGCTGTTCAGACCTGTCCGGGCTCATGTATCTCCACTCTGCTGCCCTATCTTCACTCACTTTCCCTGGGCATTCGGGAGGGGGGTGCTTAGTTTTTGGCCTGAAAGGGAACAGTTTTTATTATGGATATTGCAACCAGCAGCACACCATGATAATATACATATAAACTGTTGCCCTTACCATCTCCACAGGTACCCCTTGCATTTATAATGAGGGAGGGAGAAAAAATAGCACCAATGCATGCCTCAGAAAATTTTAGCAGAGACCAAGTTTGCAGCCTTGGAATGAATTGTCCACCTGTGTTAAGACTCAAAGGTGGAGATCTTCATCTGCTGTTAATGAGCATCCCTGATAGAGCCATGCTCGTTAATATCAGCTGAGGATCTGGCCCAAAATGCATACACAGGCATTTTGTTTTCCACTGATCAGTCCCTGTAAGTGCTTTACATTTATATCTCCTGGGCGTTGTTGGAGACTCCATTAACGACTGGTAGAACAGCCCCTCTGCTCACAAGTGAAATTGTAACACAGTGCTGATGTGTCCCATGTTTTTCTAGAGTTAGTGCTTTGAGCATGGCTTTTACAGCCCCACTTTTGTGAAGCGCATGGGGGGTAGTACCAAAGATAAGCTGAAGTGTAAAGCCAGCTGCTTTGTCTGGAACCTTACCCTTTAATTTTGGATTCACGTGTGTTGTCTGGACCAGATGTGCATTTCTACAGCACCTGCCCCAGAACGTGCCCCTGCTCAGAAGTTTCGCAGCCTTCGTGCCATCATCAAAGCACTGGGGAAATGAACGTGCTCTCTTGCAAACTGGCAGTGCCTTCAAAGAATAGCACTGGTATAAGTGGGTAGGGGGTGAACTGAAGCTTCTGCCAACAATTGGGGATTTGTAATTGTTTCAGGGAAAGACATCAAATGGGCATTGGAGTACATTGCTGGAGCAGGACTGGTGGTGCCGGAGCAGGATGGAGCCTCACAATGAGCTGGGCCCAGGGCTTGAGTAGCACCTGCTTGTGCATATAGTGGCTGAAAAACCCTCAGGGCCGTTGCTTATAAATCTAGACCCAAGATGGGGAGAAGGAACAACCCCAGCAGCACAGACTCAAGTTGCTTTTGTTGCTGCCAGACAGGTTAGTGCCCGCAGCATGTGCAAGTCCTCCTTCCAGCAGATAGCAGGAGTGATCATGTGCCATGGTACTCCCTACAGTCAAGCTGGCTGCTTGCATAGCTCACGTTTGTCCTGATTCAAAGCACTGAAGGTGAGGGTGCCATCCAAAGAACAAGGGTGTTTGTTTGACCTTTGCCTAAAATGAGGTCTTTCTTAGCCAACGGTTTAATTCTCAGTGTATAGACCTTCCCTCTCTTTTTGAGCAACAACTTGAGGGAAAAACAGTAAACTCTTACTGCTTAAAGTGACATTTCTGCTCTTTGTGGTGGTGTGGTCCTCCTCTCAGCTGCACTAAGCTTTCTTCTGATAGTGTCCAGTGCTGTAGTAGACACTATTCAACAGTGAAAAATGCCATCAGAGAAATGTTTCATTTCCTAGCCCCCTTGTGGCATTTCTGTGGCAAAACCTTTGTTGTGCCCTAAACAAACTTAGCCCCTGCAGTTGCCATGGGTACTAATGCTAGAGCAAAGCTGCTTAGGTGTACAAGGAACTCCTAGCGCCATAATGTGGGTTCCCTCTGCTGATAAGCAAATTGGAGAATGGATGTGAACAGTGGAACAACCCCTCTTGCTTTGAGAGAGATTGCTTCACAGCACAGGGGCAGCGACAGGCTCAATTCCCATTCAGGCTGTGTTTGCTCAGCAAGGTCTTGGAGCCAGTCTCCAAAGTTTCTAGTTAAGGGGAATTGTGCGACAGCAAAGAGGGCTAGATCAGTAGCCCTGCCCCCATTTTCTCTCAGGATTTCTGCTGCTTCAGGATTTGGATTGCATTCTAAGCATTTGTCAGGCTGGTACCTCAGCTTGGGGTATTTCAGTGCCTGGGGCAGGCCTGTTTCTCTAACACCTCCCCCCCCAGCTTACTCTTGGTCTGGAGGAGAGATGACATTAGGGTCCCTGCCCCCCCAAGGAAGTTTAACCTGCATTACTCCTAAAACACTAAGGGACATGAACGTAACTTCTGATAGAGACACAGCTTGTTGCTAGGAGGCCACCCAGCTCTTGCACTCATCAGCATCAAGCAAAACATTTCCCTGGCTCATGGTGTTCTGTCACAGTACTGTGAATGTACAACATAGCACTAGCTGCCTTCAGGAATGACAGCCAAGCTGGTGAAGTCCCCTTTCCACAGCTGGGTTGAACTTATGACAATGTTCCTCTAGCCCTTTACAGCTCTGTGAAGTGGTTGAAACACTAGCTTAACTGAAGGGTTGCAATTTTAAACAAGTTTCAGAGTAACAGCCATATTAGTCTGTATTTGCAAAAAGAAAAGGAGGACTTGTGGCACCTTAGAGACTAGCCAATTTATTTGAGCATAAGCTCACTTCATCAGATGCTGTAGCTCACAAAAGCTTATGCTCAAATAAATTGGCTAGTCGCTAAGGTGCCACAAGTCCTTTTAATTTTAACCAAGAGGCTGCACCTTCACACCCTGTAAGGAAGAGCCAGTACTTCCCCTGTGCAGAGAGGCAGTGTCCCTTGGGTTTAAGAATGTTTTCTGTTACCCCCAAACACACAGCTCACCTTGAGCTCCAGGTGCCCCCTGGGCCCTGCCCACCACCCCCTTCCCCTGTACACGTTAGAGAGAAAGAGGATACTCTTCCGAGCCTCCCCTCTCCTGGAGCATGCATTCAGCTCTCCCCCCAAGGAGTTTAACAAAGGTGATCTGAAGCCACCTAGAGAGAGTCTAAAGGCAGTTTGTTAGCCACTGAGGCCAAAGCTTTTTCCAGAAAGGGAACAAAACCATGTTCAAGTCCACCTGTGATTCTGTCCTTTTAATGGAACTAAAAGCAAACAGCAAATAGTGCACAACAATGACTTGCACAAACAATATCAGCTAAATTAATTTTCTGGTTCAACAGAAGCTTCCAGGGTCAAGTTTTTTCCCCCATTCCAGTATATAGTTAAATCAAATTAAAGGGTACAGCAGTCACCTGACATACTGGTGTGGAACCAAGCAGCTCCACAGAGCGTCTCTGACCTACTGCTACCTCCAGGGAACATCTGAAAGTCTTTTTGGATAGTAGCTGTCCTTGGGTAGTCTCTACAGTATCCCCCCTCCTATAGTAATCTGCTATCACCACATTTTAGTGACTAGTGAATCCTGTCTTTCCCCACTACTTTGTATGTCTGCATAAAGGCAGGCTCTGAGTGTTTTAATCTGTTTGCTACTGTAAGTCAAATCTTTCTCTTTCCAGACTAATTGTGAGGTTTGACCTAAGATTGCAAGGGCAAGTGGGAACACATGCAAGGGGGGTTCTTGGGGATTAGCTCATCTCCAGGAACCTCAGCTCATTCTTACCATGAGGGAAGAGAAACAGAAGCCATATTCTCCCCTCCCCACCCCCAAAGAGTTTCAAAGAGACAGGCTTTTCAAGATGGCCCAGGAGGTGTAAGCAGCTCTCAGCATTTCACCTTAGCAGATTTCTGGATTGTACTAGTGCTCTTTAGGCAGCAATGGTTTCTGCAGAAATGGGCACAATAAATGGTACATTTTCCCTTTACCCTGTTTGGGTAGGGACCACTTGCTACTAGCAACACTGTGGTCTGCATTGGTGATTGGGCAGGACCCCCCCCACCTATGCAAAAACTACATTAATACTGAAGCAGGTTCAGGTCACAGCTGTACACTGGGTAAGGGGCTCTGGTTCCACCCAGTAACTGTTTGCAGAGGCAGCATAGAGCTGGGTAAGAGGAAAGGAGCAGCAGGGACAGTGGTAGAAATTGCTCTTCTCCAAACACTTACTTTTGCCCAAACTTTGTCTCCCAAAAGACCGATCCATCTCGCTCAAAGCTAGTTTTGTTCTAAGTGATGGGATTTGGGGATGTAGGAACAAGGATGAGAGGCTTAAGGGTTGCCCCTCCCCACTACTTCCCAGACAGCTGCTCGTAAAGTTTGGGCACATAGCTATCCCACTCTGCCTGATAGCACGTGCCAGCCACTGGGTTTCCCAGCTTGTACTTTTTGCGGAAAGATGCCACTTGGAACTTCCCACGTTTGTCACCAGATCGGTTTGTGAGGATGGGTTCGTTGCAGTTCAGTGGCTGCGGCTGTTCGTAGACCAGCCACACGTACCGATGAAGTCCTGCAGATTGGGTGGGAGAGAGAGACAGACACACTATGTTAAATAGAAGAAAGAAAATCTGTATTTGTTTTCAAGGAAAGCACTATGGTACATAAGCTTGTGATCATACACACCCCTATACAAGGGTCTGATCCATACGTTAATCTTGTTATTGCGTATAAAGAAACCATTCTGGTATCCTACATCAAGGAGGCTGTCATGAGTCAAGTATACAAGGAATGTGCGGACATAGCACCAGGTGTAGACATTAGATAAGCGTGCCAGGCATTGTACACAGACAGGAGCTCTAGGGCAGACATCTTACAGTACAGATGGAACTTTCATTGGTTCCAGGGTTTGGCTTTTTAGCCATCTTGTTGCATAAGGGTTAAGGATGAGTTTGAGGCCTTTTGGACAAGTATTTTAAGGGAAGGACCTGTGAGATATAATGGACTCAATGGCACCATCCTATCAATCACTTTCAGTAGTATTGTCCACTTTAATAGACTGCGGCTGAAGGCAGAAGCACGTGTTTTGCATAGATCTTAGGTCTAGGACAGCAGAATAATTTGTATTTTTCTGGCACACTCCAAGCAAGTCTTTAAGAACGCATGTTCAGCGTCCAGAAGAGCAGCAAAACAATTCCCACAGAACGTACTGACTTAGGGGAATTGCCAAGCATGGCCGCGTGTGACCTGCCAGAATGAGGGGTCATCATCAGCTGTCAGTTTATGAAGTGTATGGACAGTTCCAGCTCACGCCTTGGGCAGGTAAATATCTGCCATGAATCTTTACAACTGAAATTGTCACCATATTTCCATTTTTCCCCCCAGATGTGAGGAGTGGCTAATACAGATCTGTAGGGTTTGAAAGCTGAGATGCTGGCATATACTGAGCACACACACTGCAAACAGTTCTTCAGCAGTAGCAGAGCCGGTTTTTATGCAGATTGCACCAACTCCCACATACAGAACTGTTTTAGTCTCCTGGGCCTAACACCTGCTCTAAGTGATGTCAGAGCTTAGACTCCCAGACAAGCACTAAGTTCAACTTGTCCACTACGTTTACGCAGGAGAAGAGATGTCCAGCAGCTGGTATCATCTCTCAGGTAAACAGCTTCTTTACTTACAGGAAAGAAGATTTAATACATGAACAAAATGCACCAGCTATGTCTGAATAGCCTTCAGGGTCACATTTGAACTCAGTTCTCATCTGGGAACCACCCAGATATCAATTCAGCAACATTCCCTCCAGCCCCTGATGCAGGCAATATGCTAGTCATTTACTTCCCCTGCATGGTGGAAATATACTAGAGGCAGATGGACAGTGCTTGGCCATGCTATCCACATTGCTGCTTAGACAGCAGTTTGCTCTGCACTCCTGGTGCAGGAGGTGTACACACGAATCCTCATTTCTTTGCCCACCAAGATGGCGACTTCCTTCTCTCTGTACATTACAGTTCCCTGCACACTCCTGCTTGGGTTCCTCTACATTACAATCTACTCATTCACAGCATGGATTCGTCAGTCAAGTCTGAGTACTGTAGTATTCACTGTAGCAAGGAGTCCTGCATTAGCCCATGCAGGACCAGAGTGATATGTGGGGGCTACCACTTACTAACCTGTCCCTTTGGGTGGCCCAGAACCAACATAATCAGAAAGGACACACCCACTGCTGATGTCATTTCCTTTCATGTTGACAACCAAGAAGTGATGCCATTCCCTAAGAGGAAGAACATGCCCAAGTTAGAACCAATAACAGTCTCTACGGATTACTGAACCTGCCAAGTGAATTAAATGGACAGCCAGAAAGATGGCTATTAGAAGCAGAGTATTTCCCCACTCACTCCCTCTCCTGGTGGAACATCACAGGCTTTTGCTGTCCCTGCCAAGTTTGCGCCACATACACACACAAGGATGCAGTTTCACATGAATATCATTGACCGGAACTGTTCAGATGAAGCTAAGAAGCCAGCAGGGCAGAGGTAGGTGCTTTCCGCTCACCACAAAGCTCTGAGCATTCATTGTCAGGGGGCATGTTTCCCATCCTTGGGTGTCTGGGTGGGGAAGGATGGTTACTGCCTAACATTCAGGACCAGGAGCTTTGGGTTCTGTTGCAGGCTTTGCTCTATAGGCTGACTGCCAGGCCTCTAGCAATTCACATCACCCTTCTCAACTTGATTGGTGCAGCAGAAATTTTCAGCTGAAAGAGGCAGCATGAAAGTTCAACTAAGAGTGCGGTGGTCAGGCTACTGACATTTATGGCAGACAAGAGAGGGAAACTTCCAAAATTCTCCTGCTCTATTACCTGAACTTTGGATCCTTCCTGCTTGGAGCATCTGGGTCAGTGAGAACCAAGGTGTAGAGTTTCTGTGGATCACAGCCATCCCACTCAATGCTGGTTGGGCAGTTCTGAACCTATAATGATTAAGTTGTATGCCATTCATTAAACAAGAAGGGAAAAATAGTCATATCCCCGTAGAGAATCCATCACCCCCTCTCCAAGTGCTGTAAGCCATAAGTTATATTGGGCATGCAATTGACACACCACGCTAACGTTATTACATAGACCCGTTTTCATTACGCCAGAAGGGAGACTGCTTGTAGATTCCACCTAAAAATGAAGGATTTTAATGAGCTGAATGGTTTTTCTTCCACTTAGAATGTGTTTGAATAAAAACAACCCCCACAAACTGCAGCATTTGGCACCCAAAAACTGCACCTCCGTGGTAGTGGCAAGAACTTGAATGCAAAACACAGAAACTCTAAGAATGAGGCACGTCTGTTTCTGTCATCTGGGCGCAGTGAAGCGTAACTGGCAGACGCATGCTACAAAGGATCAAGGCTGGAGTCCTTGACTCAGTTATGGAAGGCATCTACTCCTTACCTTGTACTTGGACAGTAGAAACACTCCCTGGCGTGGTGGAATTTTCCACCCTGTTGAGAAACGGATACCCGCTGTGCACTGCTCTTGGTATACAGCCAAGGAGGATTCCAACCCAACACCGCAGCACCCTCCTCTTACCTACTCCATTTCCTAGTAATGGGGGGTGGTGTTGGAGCAACACAGGCATTACCGCAACCCCCTGGAGCATAACGGGCCTGCATTTTGCTCTCATGCTGGTGCAGGTCAGGAGGAACTACGGCGATCAATGGACTTAGCCTGCCGGAAGCCAGCACCCAGGCAAGTCCAGGATCAGCGGACGCCAGAGGCTCCCACGTGGGTCATAAGGCCAAGCAGATCGTTTCTCATCGAGCAGGAGTCCCGGGGAGCAGACCTAAGAGCTGGGACTCACCCCCCCACACACACACACGCGCGCTTTGCTGGCCGGGATAAGGGGTTCGAGCCCCTCGGCCGGCCCACACCGCTGCGTCATGGTAGCGGCGCCGAGCTCCGCCGCTCCCCCCGGGCAAGCGCCCCGCCGCGCCACCCCTGCGATGAGCCTCCCCTCCGAGCGCCGCCTTCCGGCTCTGCCCCGCTCCAGCCTGCAGCCGGGCTCGGCCCCGTCCCGGGGGGCCACGGCAGCGCCCCTCGGCGGGTTCTGCGGAGCGGCTGCGCGGCCTCTGCAGCTCCGGGGAGATCCGCGGCCCTCCCCCGGCCCCACCCCGGGCTGGGCCGTGACCTCCCCCGGCCGCAGGCAGCGGCCTGCCCCGTTCCACCGCCGCGGAGCGGCGCTGCCCGGAGCCACCCCCCCGCGCCCGGCCCGGCCTCCAGCGCGTAACGGCCCCGCTCCCGGCGCGGGCCGCTCGGCCCCTCTCTCTGCTCCGCGCCCGGCGCGGGCCGCTCGGCCCCTCTCTCTGCTCCGCGCCCGGGCCGCCCGGCTCCCCGGGCCGCCCGGCTCGAGCCCGGCCCTACCTGGGTGGGGGTCAGCACTTGGCCCAGCTCGTCTATCGCCGCCGCCGCCCCGTACCGCACGCGCAGGGGCTGCGCCGGCCGCTGCTCCACCTCGCCCAGGCTCAGCGGCCCGTCCCACGGCCCCGGCCCCAGCGCCATCCTCGGCCCCGCCGGCGGCTGCGCGAGCTCCGGGTCTGGCGGCGGGCGCGCGCCAGCGGCACCCCTTTGAGGGGCGGTGGGGCCTGGCTCCTCCCCCCCCGGGCTCCCATTGGCCATGGCGGGCAGAGGGGGCGGGCCCCGCCTCCCCTCTCCGCTCCCATTGGCCTTCGTGGGCAGAGGGGGCGGGGCCCGGCTCCCATCGCTGCGCGGGCCGTCTCGGGTTGCAGGGGCGGGGGCGAGGCGGAGCGGAGCGGGCTCCGCGGGCTGGGGCGGTGCCGGGGCAGGCCGCCTCTCCTCAGGGGGGCCTGGCAGCCTGGCCGGGCCCCGCCCCCCGCCCAGCTGCCTGATCAAAGAGGCCCGGTCAGTAATTGTGAGCATCGGTCCTGTTGCAATGACGCCCCCACCCCCCCGAGCAGCCCCTTGTCCTGGGTGCTGCACAAATGCACCCCAGGTACAATGCAAACGCTCAGGCCTGAGGCCACCCGTGCACCGTCCTGTGTCATGGGGCCATTGGGAACCTGTCTGCTCCCAAGGCAGCTGAGAGCAGCCCTGAGGGTTGCTCTGACTTGCACCAGCTGCCAGTAGCCCAAAGGGACCATTGCAGCAGCTAGGAATAGCCACGATCCTGGATGTAGAAATGCCTCCTGGTTCCAGCCTTTCCCTTCCCCATGGTTCCCTGTAGTAGGCGGTGATATAGAGCTGGCTGGACTGACTCAGCCTGTCAGGGACTTCCCCCCTATGCCGACGGAGCGCCCCAAGGAAGATCCAGCTGGTTTACAGCCCTTCCCCGGGGGCGGCTCTGAAGTGGGCCCTTAGAATTTCCGCGCTCCGGGGAGCAGTGAGTAGAATTTTGCGAGGCTGCACGGGAGTGTTTGTGAAGAGCAAACCAGGGATTTATTACAGTCGCTGAGTTCTGTGCAGTCACAGGACGGAGAAAGTATTTTGAATGTTTTCTTTGCGACCTCAAGGACTGTAAACGTCCTTCTTTTAAATGAAACCGTTAATTCTTCAGCCCAGTGTGGGGAAAGGACTGCCTTGCTAAGCCGCTGCAAGTGGGCCCTTGGGATGAAGTGGTTGTTGGGCAGTGGAGCTAAGCCTTGTATCTTTTTTTTTTTTAACCAAAGTCCTTAAAACAAAAAACCCTACTAGGGTCTGACCAAATACCCCACCCATGGCCTGGGAAGCAACACAGCCCATCAATGAACTATGGGTGCCCCAGGGTACACTTCCTGCTGACAGTTACAGCCATGACTGGAATCTGCTATTGTGTAAGGGGGCTGTTGCCCCCTTACTAACATTCAGTGGGGGTGTTTTGGTTGGCTAGCTCTCAGTACTAAAAAGGGAAGGGTCTATGGGAAATCAGGACGCTGAGACTGACAGTCCCCAGGAACAATGGGGGAGAGGCCAATGCTCCAGGTCAGCCTGAATGACGGGGTGGGCAGGCTAATCAGGGAGTCAGGAGGCCAGGGAGGTCCTGTCCTCCATGTGAGCTGGATTTGCCTGGGTCAGACAGAGTGGGGCAGAGCTAAGGAGAAGGCAGGGGCCCGAGCTGAGCTGGGGAGCAGAGCCGTGCCAGATCCAGAGAGAGCAGCCCCTGTCCTGGGAGCAGAGCTGCAGCCCCAAAGCCAGAGGCACAGCCCAGAGAGAGCAGACTTGCCCTGGGAGCAGAGCTGCAGCAACCAGAGCCAGAGCGGCCAGAAAAGCAGCCCAGGGAGCTGGAGGCAGAGCAGCAGCTGGGGCTGGAGCAGTCTGGAGCTGGGTGCGGTGAGCAGCTGGGGAGACTGAGGGGGACCCTGGGCAGCAGGCCCAGCACAGGGAGACGCCTCAGCCAAGAGGCTCTGCAGGCCAGGCTTGGATCGTAACCCCGACAGGGTGGGGGCGACACTGGGAAGAAGGGTCCTACCACTTAGAGCCTGAGAGCGTGTGGCCACCACCAGAACGAGTGTCCAACCTACAGCATCCCTACAGCAAAGCCAGGGCCTGAGAAGGAGGCCTGGGACTTACAAGGAACAGACTGTGAACTGCCCTGACATTCCAGAGACACTGTTTGTGATGTTCCCTGCCACAGAGCGGGTTGATGTGTTTCCTTTAACCTTTCCTATTTTTCCTTATTCTTTTTCAAATTAATTGTTGATTAAATAACTTGCATGTGTTTTAACTTGTATGTAATGGTCAGTGGGTCAGAGAAGTGCCCAGTGCAGAGAGAGTACCCCGGAGTGGGGACACCCTAGCCCCTATCCTAGGTGACCGCAGCAGGGTTGGGGGTCGAGCCCCCCAGGAATCCTGGGCCCAGCCTTGTTGGGGTTACGAGGACTCTACCAGACAGGAGAGTGGAAGGGGAGTCCTCAAGGGCAGGGAGGCCACTGGGTAAAGGAAGTGGGAGCGAGGACTCAGATCCTTTTGCTAGCCCACTTCACCGGGGTAGTGCAGAAGCCAGGAAAGTTCTCCACAATAGCGGGACTATTCCCCCGGCTTACAATTGCATGGAGGTTGCTTGAGGTGAATGATGAATTTCCTCACTGGTTTAACCTGGCTACTCATCTGATTAATACTAATGACTTACATCCAGGTTACTATTGTAAAGGGTGTTTGGGTAGCTAGCCCTTTTGTGACACTTCCCTGAATTCTATTCATTTGACACCTTTGCAGTGTTACACTTAAACCATACAGTATAGAAGAAAAACAAATTGCGTCACGAGAATCATGTGCCTACCAAAATACAGCACTGTATGTTAAGGCACCGGTTCTCCTCCCTTTCTACACTGGGACCTCTCTACAACCTCTCTCGTCTAGCTGGCATCCCCCTTCCTCTTAGCAATATTGGAAAGGGCAGGGTGGTTGCAAACCCTGACCACGGTTTGCAGCCTTGGTTGAGAATCTATTAGAGTGTTGTTAGGATTGTGCTGCGTATATATGGGGCAGGTAGCCAGGACTCCTGGGTTCTCTTCCTCACTCTACTACTGGCTCAACTTACGTGTGCCTCAAAATTTCCAGATCAATAAAATGAGGATAATAATTCCTCCCTTATATGGGGCAGCATGAGTTTTCCAAAGGATCCCAACACGTGTCAGAGCAGAGGCTGGGCCTGGGAACCTGTTCGCGACAGAAATTCCCATGTCATTTACTCGTAGCGGAGTGTGGTGTTTCCAGTTCCAGTTGCAAAGGGAAGGCTAGTAGGGAAGCAACAAGGTCACTTCCTTACCTGTCTCCCCTGATGCAGGCAGGCAAGTGTGACCTTTTCTCTGGGGGTCCAGGCCTCAGGCTGTGAATCACCTTGTTTCCCCCCCAGGGTGACCAAATGTCCCGATTTAATAGGGACAATCCCTATATTTGGGGCTTTGTCTTATATGGACATCTATTACCCCCCATCCCTTGGCCCAATTTTTCAGTCACCCTACGAGAGAAAGACAGACAGACACAGACAGACAGACTTGCTTGAGCTTAACTGGGTGCGAACTCCCTGACTCCACCAGTGTGCAGTGTTCGCCACCCAAACAATCTCCTCTGGGCTCTGCCAGCCCTCACTTTGTCCTGCAGGTAAGAATAGATGCACCCAGCCCCTGAGTCCCTCCTAAAGCATCCCCCTGTAGCGCCCAGCCCTTAACCACTGCACACTCCCAGCTGTCCCCAGAGGAATAGGGCGCGCTCCCGTTGGTTTGATTGAACCGAGATCAGCTCCGCAGTAACATCACAGCACTGAGTTACATTTATGGAGAAAAGAATCGTAAGTTTATTATCAACGGCTAAAGTGTAAGAGCTGGTGAATCAGAACAATGGAAATGGTTAGCTATAAAACAAAATCCTAACACGCAAACCTGGGTCTACACTTAGCAGTGGTCACTCCGCTAAATATAAGGGGACCAAATGTCCTGTTTTTATAGGGACAGTCCCGGTTTTTTTGGACTTTTTCTTATATAGGCGCCTATTACCCTCACCCCTGTCCTGTTTTTTTCACAGTTGCGATCTGGTCACCCTACCTATATAACAATGTAGATTTTCCCCAAAGGTGCAGTCTTTTGCAGAGCGAGCTGGTTTAGGACAAAGCAGGATGCAAGCAATCCCCTCTGCCAGTGCCAGGGGTTTTCTGCAGTGAATGAATCACAAAATGTCTCCTTGCATTATATTTATGTTCTTCAAAGTTTATTTTTTGCCCCCCAGAGACAGGACAACCCCCTGGGGTTTAGTCTTCCCACCCTCCTGTTGATTTCGTAAGTATATTGGGCTCCCATTCTGTTGGCTTACAATGCTTAATCTCCACGTGAATGGAGGCAGACAGGTGAGCATGCGTCCCCCTGTCTGGCAAAGCCTGTTTGTCAGCCCTGCTAGGACACAGACAAAACACATTTTTCAGCATGTAGACACAGCCCCTGAAATATCATCTCTACCTACGTCTTGCAACGACAAGGAGGGTCAGTGTGGCACAAGCTTTTAGTCGAGACCTCATGTGACCCTTCTTGGAGCAATACTATTAAAGCAATGTGTTAGGCGTAGTGAGTTTGTCAGGCCTGACAGGAGCTGCTGTTAGAGAACAGTAAGCCTTTCGAAAAGGAGGACTTGTGGCACCTTAGAGACTAACCAAGTCTCTAAGGTGCCACAAGTCCTCCTTTTCTTTTTGCGAATACAGACTAACACGGCTGTTACTCTGAAACCAGTAAGCCTTTCGCCAGCGAGCATCACAGTAGCATGACTCTTTGTTGCTGTCAGAGGAGTTATTAGTAGGAAAGTTAGTGTTTTGGTCAAGGTCTCCTTTATTTCCTTGTTGCACATTGGAATTGGGAGGCACCTGCATAACGTGTATCTTGACGTGCCCCGGGTGGGGTCAGTATGAGAAGCTGCACAGTGTGTGGTCTGATCTGCAAATGCCTATAGATGTTTGGTGTTTGTTTCTTGTCCTTCTTGGTGTGTCTGCAGTAGGGAGTGCTTTGTACAATGATTCATGGACAGCAAGGCCAGAAGCCATTATCCCAGTCACTTCCTATGTAACACCCCATGGCTCCTGCATCCAGCTCGCTAACCTGTGGTTAACCTTGTTGCTGGATGGTTCTGGCTG